GAGGGAGAGAGGAGGTGTGAGCAGGCCTGGGGTGCTCATTCCTGCCTGCTGCTCCTCAAAGGAGGGAAAAGCCAAGGCTGCTGGAGAGCCCAAATATAAGCTGGTGAGCCATCTCCTGGAGTGCTCCTGCTGCTGGCTTTGCTCTGGGTGTGCTCCTCACCCAACCCAGCTCCTGAGCTGATTGTGTCCCCTGGGGGCCAGGGGAGGTTAGTCCTCCTTCCTTCCATCCAAGCAAGTGACAGAGGTACCACCTACCCTGGTACAGGCAACAAGGCCTCCTACAAGGTCTGGTTAGCCTTGTGTCACCTCAAAAAAAGTCCCCTTCATCTTTGATGGTGAAGTTCCACTTAGCACTTCTATTTTGGAAGGGCTGAACATCAAGGATGGTGCAGTTGTGCCTTGTTTTTCAGGGGCTGAATACTCCAGCAGGTAGTGAGGAGCAAGAGAAGTTTGTTTCATGTTGCCAGGGAAGGGAATCCTATCTTTCCTCCAATGACCTCCTTTAGCTCCCTAGAGGTTTTACAGGGTAGGACCAAGCTCTGCCCCAGCCATGTGACCCTCCAGGGATGTATTTTGTCATTGGGAATGTTAGGACTCCTTTCCCATCCCTCTTGTGCTCAGAGGCAAAGGATGGCAGAGTCTCACAGTGAAATGTTGCACTGCAGAGGTGTGAAGGGAACCCAAACCTGTCAGGTTTTAAAGATTTCTGTGTTTTTGCTGTGAGCATGAGGACAGTTTGACCTACTGTTAGTTGTAAAGAAAACAAAAATTGACAATTTGGGGGTGAGAGGCAAGAACCAGTTTGGTACAGATGGGAAGAATGGCCTTTCCTGTGGTGTATTTGATGCTCTATGTGCATCTTGCTGTATTGTGGGAATGTGGAGGTGTGGGGTGACTCAGGATGTGTCTCTGGAGTGGTTTAGGATGTCTCTGGAATGGTTCAGGATGTGTCTCTGGAATGGCAGCTGAAGACATTGCAGTGACAGTGGTGGGACGCTGCCGCTCAGTAGCGATCACCTGCACCAAAGCAAATAAAAAGAGAAATAATTTTGGGAAGCTCAATGATAGTAATGACTTCATTTTGGAAAGAAAAATGTTATCCCTCCATAAATACCCCCAAGATTTTTCCAGGCAGGGATCCCAGCTGCTCTGGGAAGAAGGCACTCTGAGGCTGGACCAGCAATGACCCGAGTGGACCCTCTGGCCACCACTGTCTGCTGAGCCTCAAGGGCTTTGTGGTGCCAAAATGCAAATGGCTCAGAGTGTCTGCACACAGCAACCAGAGCTGCCCCTCCAGGGAGATGATAAACCCTGGATTTCTAGACCACAGATTTACCTCAGCTTTAAACTTTAACTTTTGCAGGAAAATTTGATAAACCTGTGAGAGCCCCAGTCTCGACAGAGATTTCCAGGTACTTCTAACACGATTCTTCTGAGGGAGAGACTGCAGGCTGAGGGCTCCAAGAATGCACTAACAATCCAAAATGTAGAAGTGCTTTGACTCTTATCACAAGCAGTCCCACCCTTGCCTTGTGTTATCAAACTTTGGAGCTTAGCAATGAGCACTTGCAGGGCCCTTCCTGACTGTGATAAGGTATTGATATCAAAATTGCACTTGATTTAGGGGTTTAATTTCTGCATGTCCTTTTTTTTTCTCTGTCTTACATGTGCAATCATAAACCAGGATTTGGGTTATTCCAGTCCCAGAAATATTTTTAGGTCTGGGCTGTGGCACAAAGGGTCTCTCCCTGTTAAAGCAAAAGGAAAATTGTGGCTAGACTGGCAGTCCTGGTGAGGGCAAGGGCTACCATGGGAGTTCCCTAAATTGTTACAACTGTGGATTTAGGCAGGTTATAACTGTATTTACAGCAGGCTCCTGTCATAGAATGCAGAGGAGCACCCACCAGAATTTAACTCTGCATTCTTCAAAGCTCAGGTTTCCAGCAGTATCTATCTCCAGGAAAACTCTGGGATCTGTGACATTTTGAAAGCTTCAAGTAAGGGAATTCAAAAGTTCCTCTCAATGAAATTCAACTGAGCAAGAAGGATGCAAACTTTACTTTTCCTGATGTAATTTCCCCATAGCAAAATTGGGCTTTTCTTTGGTGGAATTTTGTTGGAAAGATGACTTGGAACACACAGTTTGGGATACTTTAGCAAGGGAGTATCAAAGTCATGGTAAGAAAAAAAAAGCTAAAATACCCCAAAAACTCCCAGTTGCTTTCAGCTTTATGTAGTGCATCCCTTCTGGCTCCCTGTTGCAGTGGACACTGAGATTGCAGGGGTTGGTGGCTGTGCTGCAATGAGAACCTGAGGGTACTCCTAACCTTCAGTTTTCTCTTTTGAGAGTCCACATCCCTTAACCCTGCTTTTTTCTTAGCCTGGATTCTTCAGTGTTTTCCACCGTGACTTGGAACACACAGTTTGGGATGCTTTAGCAAGGGAGTGTCAAAGTCATGGTAAAAAAAAAAAAAAAAAGCTAAAATACCCCAAACTCCCAGTTGCTTTCAGCTTTATGTAGTGCATCCCTTCTGGCTCCCTGTTGCAGTGGACACTGAGATTGCAGGGGTTGGTGGCTGTGCTGCAATGAGAACCTGAGGGTACTCCTAACCTTCAGTTTTCTCTTTTGAGAGTCCACATCCCTTAACCCTGCTTTTTTCTTAGCCTGGATTCTTCAGTGTTTTCCACCCTGAAAATCTAGGGGATGCTAAGATCCAGTAGAGATGTGTAATTCCTTCCTGAATAATGTCATTAGCTCTTTTTATTTGGTCATGGATACATAGGCTAATAATTTCTGTAGTTAATGAAAGGACTGAGAACAAGGATTTTGTTCTCTCTTGTCTAGTAAATCCCACAAACAAAGTTATGTACATGCTGTAGGTATTACTTTTAATATTTATGACTGTTGTAGCCACATCATGGGAGCTGTGTGGCATTAGAAGAATTTTCCAAAGGGTTGTTAAAATGAAGGGAAAAAAGTGCCTTCAAAAAACAAGCACCACTTTTTGCTTCATATAATAAAGCAGTGAAACTTAAAATAGCACTAGAATAATCATGATTTCTTGCTGTAAATCTGCATGGATTTGGCTCTCTGAATTTTTTTTATGCTACAAGGATTGGTTTACTGTCTGTGGACTGGATCCTTCTTGCATTACACAAGTGACTAAATCTGTGGGGCCCTACTCCTAACCTTCAGTTTTCTCTTTTGAGAGTCCACATCCCTTAACCCTGCTTTTTTCTTAGCAGTGTTTTCTACCCTAAAAACCTAGGGGATGCTAAGATCCAGTAGAGATGTGTAATTCCTTCCTGAATAATGTCATTAGCTCTTTTTATTTGGTCATGGATACATAGGCTAATAATTTCTGTAGTTAATGAAAGGACTGAGAACAAGGATTTTGTTCTCTCTTGTCTAGTAAATCCCACAAACAAAGTTATGTACATGCTGTAGGTATTACTTTTAATATTTATGACTGTTGTAGCCACATCATGGGAGCTGTGTGGCATTAGAAGAATTTTCCAAAGGGTTGTTAAAATGAAGGGAAAAAAGTGCCTTCAAAAAACAAGCACCACTTTTTGCTTCATATAATAAAGCAGTGAAACTTAAAATAGCACTAGAATAATCATGATTTCTTGCTGTAAATCTGCATGGATTTGGCTCTCTGAATTTTTTTTATGCTACAAGGATTGGTTTACTGTCTGTGGACTGGATCCTTCTTGCATTACACAAGTGACTAAATCTGTGGGGCCCAGTGGCCAGAAAGAAGGACCCAGAAAGGCATTAAAATAGTTTAGCCCATTCAGCTGCAAAGTCATCTTGCACATAGTTTCCTTCTAACTGGTTTTGTGTATGTTATAGTTTCCTTCTAACTGGTTTTGTGTATGTTACTGTCGAATATGAATCTGCAGAACATCTCCTGGTCTGGAATCTCATTCCCTTAGAGCAGTCAGCTGCTCTGCAGCCTTCCTCTGTGGCTGGTACATGTGCATGTTGAGATCTCTGTACTGTGCTGTTTTCTAGGCATTTTCATCTTTATTTTCACACTTAGTTTATGTACTTTGTATGTTTCCATGACCAGCCTTTATCTGTTTGTTCATTTTTAAGATACCTGCGTAATTTGCAAAGTTATCAGCAGTGTGTGATCACTAAAGCAAAACAAAGACAAAAATTAATCCAAGTTTACTTTATTGATAATATTCAATGACAGTGCAAGTATTGGTCATATTAAGGAGATGTAGGGCTGCTCTCATAGTAAATGAGCCAGGCTTAATTCTAAATGAATAGTTGTGGGACTATAAACTAAACCTGTGCACCCAAACAGTCCAGCTTGCCAAGGATCATCATGGAAGTTTCAAATCTCTCTAAAAGTTATTTTTCAGAACATGGCTATTCTATCTGCAACTTCTATTGTGCTGTTTGAAATGGAATCAGGCTGTGAAGCCTGCCAACTCATCTTTCATGTGCCTTTCCCACTGGTGTCTCTCTCTAGAATCAAGCTTGCGCAGCAGAGTGTTTCTGTTGCCTTTTACATGTGGTCCTCGTTAAAAAAAAATACAATGTAGTTTAGCTGTGGTGAAATTATTCGATTAAAAAAAAAAAAAACCTGTGCAAAAAGTAAACATGTTTACTGTATCCCTTTCCATTCAGCGCATTTCCTTTTTTTTTAAGCTCCGTTTGTGTCCAACAAGACAGCCTCTTTCTCCAAGATTAACATTTCTTATGATTGTTCCTGACAGAGGATTTACTTTCAGAGGCCCTGCTAAGGATAACCAAAAAAGGGCATGTAGCAAGACAGTTTTGGCAGCTCGCACGAATTTTCGGAGCTTTTTAGGTCTTGGTTTTCTGATGAGTGGCTTCCTGAGCATGCCTGGGGAATGACAGGCATCTCTGCAGGCAGGCTGAGCCCACCTTGGCTTGCGCACAGCCATTGGCTGCCCATCGGAATAAATCGAGGACAATGCATTCCGCCGCCTGCCAATTGTAAACATAAGGGATATGTATCCACTTAGCATTGACTTTTGGGAGGGGCCAAGGAAAAGCTGCACTTTTATTGAATAGGGCTGTGTGTGTGTGTGTGTGCGAGGCTGCTGGTGCGCCTCTCTCGCTGCGCTCCTGCCCGAGCAGCCAGTTATTCATTTCCTTCCTACTAGCTGGAAACTTTGCAGCCAGAGGTAAGGAAGGGCTTTACGGGACGTGTTTGCCTGGGAGCGAGCCGGGCTCGCCTTCGCCTCTGCCTTGCGGATGGAGCAGCCCGCGGCTCCGAACGAGCTGTCCCAGGCTGGTTCTGCCCTGCTCCTCTCTCTCCGTGCCCCCCCTTTCCAGATGTTCCTGGGGGAGATCTCGGGTGGAGGGGGGATGTGTGTTTGCTCACCCCGCTGGAGCTGGATGAGGAGCTGCAGGGCAGGATCTGTGCTGGTCCCACCGCTCCATTTTTGATCCTTTGGTGCGCTCATTAGTGGACCAATAACCTAATAACCCTCCTTTATTTTTTCTTTCCCCCCTCCCCTTTTTATTTTATTTTTTTTTTTTTAATGGTGGAATTACAATGAGAAAGCTTTTAGTACGTTAAGGTCTGGTGAATTGCTTTTAATTTTGCAACTTAATATGTGGGCTTGCAGGGCAGCCCGACTGCAAGGGCAGACTCGGGGCGTAACTGATACAGACACAGCGAAGCTCTGCTTAATGTAAGTGATCTGATACTCGCCCAGGCAGATGTCCCTCATGGCAGCCTTTCACAGAAGTATTGTTGACAATAGATGGCATCAGTTTTTGTTTTCAGCCTCCAACATGCGCAGCAGAGCCTTGCCAGAATGTTTCTTGTGAAGTTGCCTTTCCTGTTAAAAGGGGGGGGATTCAAGAATGTGCTTGGGTGGGACTGGAGCTCTTGGAAGTCTGGCTCTGTGTTTGTCAGAGTGCTGCTGGGGAGAGCTGGCTAGCAGGCTCCCCTTCCCGGCTCCTTTGACATGTTGGGACAGTTGGAAAGCATTGTGCAAGGCTGGCTGCTGATAGCATGATATTCTGCATAGCAGGGAATTTCTCAGGGAAAAGGGCTGGGAAAATGAAGGGAGGGAGGAAGTTAGCTGCAGATGAATGCTTGGTAGCTGCAGACACTGACCAAGCTGCTAATCTCTGGCCAGACCTGCAGGGGTAGAACAGATTGGTCTCATATGTCAAGTGTTGTTTGGAAGAATGAAAACATAACTGTTTTAAAATTACTTTTTTTATGGAGTACTTGTTTTCAGAGTAGAATTTCTTTTCAGAGCTTTTGTACAACTCTGCCTGAGAAGGCTTCCCCTGCTAAAAGGCAGGCAGGAGAATAATTTGGGAAAATAACACATTCCCTCCTTGGCAGCAGCTCAAAGAAAATAAGGAGGCAGAGTGGGATTTTTTGTAAGAACCATGTATTTATTATAATTTGTCTATTTTAGATACCATACTGTGAATGATTGTGTTTGTATGATTTGCCATTGGAGAACCCTCAGACTCTGCCTCCATTCTTTTTCTGTCTCATTAAATGTAGCAGTAAGTCCTCATCTGCAGCAAGTCTCATCTTTCCCTCCTGCCATTTAGACAGGATGGGACCCTAAAACTACACACACCAAAATCAACAGAACAGACTCTTTTAACACAAATTACAAATGCAGCCAAGCTTTTAGTCCATTTGCTTTATTAAATTGGCAATGAGGTAAAGGTAATTGATAATAAGATAAAGCAGGGTAGAACTTTTATCAATGCATTTGAACAAATGCTAGGTCTGCCTTTTCTGAAGAAACTGCTTTGATAGGCAATCTTAATAAAACCTGCATATGTTAATGTAGACTATGTCATGATGGGAGGGAAGAAATACCAGATGACATGTCTGTGAACAAGAGACTCAATTGAAATAATTTGTTTTTCCTGAAAACTCCTCTTTGTTGATACTTGCAATGGCAAGAGGATCAATTCCACAGCCTTCATTCACAGGATTAGTCCTGGTGAAATCAATATCACCATTAATGGATTCAGGGTCTGATGCAAGGGGAGTCCTGTGTACTCTGAATCCCATTTGACAGTGAGTGATGTCAGCACTTTTTAGGAGAATGGGGGATTTTCTACAACTGCTTCTTCCTCTACTCACAGCATTGTTCTGACATGGATCAGAGAAAGGGGTCACTTCCCTTGTGCTTTTATTTCTTGTCCATCACTGATATGCACAATGCAACAATGACACTGGAAGATTTGAAAGGAAAGTGGGGAAGGGTGTAAGTTCCTCTGGCTGGCATTAGAGGGAAAACTGAAGTGCATTTAAATGGGAAGGTTTTTTGTTGATATAATTCATGGGGCCACATGTGACACAGCATCTGCTCAGTCCCATCCAGGATTCGGGAGCACTGCTGCTTATTCCAGGTGGGGAGACCATAGAGGTGTAGGGCAAGGCTTTTCCCATGGCTGCCTGCTAGGACATGGCTTCTGTGCTATGAAGATGCCAGGGAGGCTCTATCAGGAGCCTGACTGGAAATCCTCCTTGTTTCACACTTCCCTTTGCACAGCTGGAGCAGCCCTGCCTGTGGGGGTGATCTTTTCACTGCAGAAAAGTGAGAGCCTGCAGGGCTTCCTTCCTGCAGGACAAATAGATCTTTAATGTTCTGGGGCTGTGTAAAATACTCTGATTTCTCAGTAGCTGCTTACATGAGACCTGTTCTTGTAGGCTGCCTGAGTTTTGTGTTGAAGATCAGTGGAGTTCTTAACCCCTATCTGCCAAGGGTGCAGCTTGGAACATTTGATCCCAGTGTGTGAGTGCAGAGGGACAGGAAACCATATATGCCTAAGAACGAGAGGGCCAAGAGAGCATAACTGTCCATCTGCAGGGCTCATCTGGACTCTCCTGGCTGTGGGAGAAAGCACCAAAAAAGGTAACAGGGCAGCAGGGGAAGTGCAGTCCTGGGAGCATTTCGTTGCCTTTGAGAGGAGCTTTATAGGGAGTTTGCAGGATTGGGCTCCAGGTGCACAAAGCCTGAGGCACTCAGGCCTGTGAGTGCAGAGTGGGAGCCTGCATTCAAAGCAAGCTTTCATTCTTTAAAAACTCTCATCTTAGGAACTACCCCCTGGCAGCTTCTAGTGAGAAAGTTGCTGCCTTGCTACTTTAGGAAAGGTGTGCGTGCAGGGGATGGTTTGCTGGCTTTGTGCAGAGCTGCTGAGTGGCCAAATGGGGGAGAATGGATTTGGGGGCACTGTACTGGAAGGAAGGCACCTACCCTATGTGTAGGCACCTCCTCTTGGGGAGCTGCTCCTGCTTGGAAGGTGTAGCTGCTGCTTGTCTAGGATTTGGCTAAGGCTGGAATTTGACTCAGAGGCATCTGAAGGTCATATAAGATCTGACCTCTCTGGATGAAACACCGAGGTCACAGAACTGTTGAACTATATAACCTTTTTTTTTTTTTTCTTTCCTGGTGCTTTTTGTGCATTCAATTAGCCCAGCAGGGAAGGACGCTCAGCACTCTGTAATTTGGGATCCCTCCCACCCCCGGGGGAGCTTGCTCCTGTATTTCTTGAAACAGATTGGATCAACCAAAAAGGTTAGGGAGTGTAACTCTGTTATTTAGCTGGTGTGTTAGTTGGGTGGCTTACATCCTGCTTTAAGGAAGTTGTTCCTTTCCATGCATTTTTCCTTTGGAACTTCCACCACAAACTGATGTCTCTTCCCTTCTTCCTGCCCCTCAAGAGGGGAAAAGTGTCCATGAAGCACAGGGGCACCTCCTGAGCAGAAAATCTTGTCTACAGCAGTGTTGAAGCTAGAAGAATTGCTTGTGGGGACTGTCCTGCTGGCTTGCAGTGAGGGCTGGACCAAATAGCTGAGGAAGCAGGTGAAAGAAAGGGAAAGAAGCAGCGACCTCTTAAGCCACTGGAGTAATTTCTCCTTTGAATTTTTTCCTGTGGTCATAAATACCTGGTGAGTCACTTAATGGCCGTGTGTCCGTTTCTGTACCTCCAAGTAAAGGATAAGCTGTACCTTTCTGTATTTAGCTCATGGCTCTGCTGGGGCTTAGTTCATTAGTGTTTGTAAAGAATTTGCAATACCAAAATGACAAGTTTAGGCACTGCCTAAAACCTTATTTTTGACTGGTTTCCCAGACCACCTTAGACTATTTTCTTGGAGTGTTCACACAGATGTGTTAGATTTCTAGATTATGGGTATAAAACCACTGAAGCCCAAGGAATGAGGTGAAGGCAGACCAGGCTCAGTGGTGATGCTGTGCTGTCATGTCTACAGGGAATTTCCTGTGTGCTTGAGGATTGAATTGTTTGTGCTACATCTGGACCAGCCTTCCTGTGAAGCTGTCATGTGTGCTCCAAAAATGCACAAAGGCAGCTTTTGCTTACAGATCCACCATAGTGTCATGAGCTTGGAAGAAAAAAACTACTCGGCAAGCTGCTGGACCTTATCTGCTTGTTCAGGCTCATGTTGATGAGAACAGTTGCAATTGTAACCCCTGGGGCCAGGCCAAGCTGCAGTGGGGAAAATATTAGGGAAAGATTTCAGGCAATGGAAACATTACATGTTTCCACACCCTCTTGTGTACAGAATACAAATAAAGAGCATTTTCCCTTGAGACTTGCTGTGGAGGGTGTGAAGCAAACTGGAACCCACCCATTTGCACATTTTCTGGTTTATGTCCTTAAATGGCAAAGAAAAAAAAATTTTTGGAATTTAGCTCATAGAAGGGTTATAAATAGATTTGTGGAGATAGTTTTGCTGTAAATGCTCTGGTTTGGTATCTATTCAGAAGGGTAACTTTGTAGGCCAAGAGATATGAAGAGGAAAGGTATTGCTAAATGCAGGAAGACAGTGTCACTGCATGTGCATGTATGTGTGACCTTCCCAATCTTCCCCCAAAATTGTGGAGACTTAAGTGGTATGGAAATCACAGTGTCAAGCTATTTAACTAACTAATCAAGCTGTTTAACTTCTCAAAGTTAAATAGCTTGGTGTGAAGAGGAATGATGTTCATGATGTGAAATGGCTAAGGGGCCCGAACCTGTGGCAGCTGTGCAAACCAAGGGCCTGAGATGTGCTGGCAGCTCGTTTTGTGTCCTTGTCCAAAGGAGCTGGCTCTGCCTAGGCAGAAGCAGGGCTGGACAAACCCAGCAACAGCTCCTGGGCTCCTTCAGAAGTCAAGGTTAGATCCTGCAG